CCCAGCGCCAGGCAGCGCTGCTGGGGCACGGCTGGTCCCTCGCAAGGCAGCTACCACGCTCTGGGTCTCCTCCCTGGGATTTCAGGAGCTGGGAGCAGAGGCTCCCTGTGAGTGCTAACTTTGCTCTTCTATCGGCTCTCCTGACGCCCGGAGCCGGCTGGGAAGCAGCAGCGAGATGACTCATTAGCTGCCAGCTCAGGGAAAGGCATTTATAGCTTTCGCGCGGCAAACAGCCTGCGCTCAGCATCGCCGTCACTGCCCTCGGACGCAGGCTGCCATCCCCGGCTGCATCCCAGGACCCCAACGAGGCTGGAGAGCTGCACTGGGCTGAGGTGTGACGCCTTTCGCAGGCTGGGTCTGGCAGCGGCTCAGAATAGTTTTGCTGTAGTCACCGATGACTCTGATGTTTTAATGGAAGAGCCGTTAGGATGCTTGAGGCCCCGGGGCTGCTTTTTCAACAGCGCCTGGGCTGGGGCCTGTGTTGGCTGCAGACACTGCAGCACTGTGCCTCTACTCAGGGTTTGGGAGCATCTTCCTGGAGGGATTTTGGTCCTCAGCAGCATGACAGCCGTCCTGAGGGTGCAGGAGCCCTGGACAGGCTGGGGTCTGAGCAGGAGAGGTGGCCATCGGGGCGAGCAGGTAGGTCCACGTGGGCAGCTGCGTGATGGAGCTGGGACAGTGCAATGTCCCGGTGGGGAGATGTGGTGCAGCACAGCCTCCACCTCCCCCGTCCCTCTGCTCCCCCAGACCTGGACTGCTCTCCATCCCAGCAGCCTCGGGTCTCAGCCACGGGGGTAAAGCAGACCAAGATATTGAGTGTCCCATTTAAACATCGTGAGCTGCCCTGGCTGGGCTGTAGCAGCGGATCCATCCCTTGGAGATGCCCGATCACTGGCCTGGGCAACAGTGGCCTCAAAGCTGTCTCCTTGCTGGAGGGACCTGCAGTGTGACGGAGCAGCCCCTTCCCTCGTGCTGTCACCTCCCCTCTCCCCAGCAGCCCCGCTCAGCCCGTGCTCATTGCAGGATCTCGGTCTGTGACGAGGACAAGTTCCGCCATAACGAGTTCATTGGG